ATCCATTAGATTTTTGCGGATATAGGCAACAGCCAAAAGGATTTGAGATAGACCCGATTTCTATTAGGCCGAACGATTTAAATTCGCTTTCTAAAGCTAAGTCTATTCGTCTGTCCGTTTTGCTTTCTTGTTTGGATGAAGTTTGGTAAAACGATATGTTTTGGCTCAAGGACTAGTGCTATTAAGCATGGTTCGGATCGGACCGCTTCTTCGATCACTTCTCATAAAACGCCGCTAAAGTCGCTATATTACATGGCGCTCTATACGTAATCTACTAAGAAGCAAAGTCATTTTTTAGCTTCCGGCGTTTACTTGAATACGAAGCAAGATTAAGAAAATATGTGCGATTTTTTAATATATCTGACACTTATCCTATAAGGCTTATTACATAATGTTCAAAAGCTTACGTTGAAGAGAAAAAAAAAAAAAACTCTAATTATTGGGTATTAATTTATATTGCGTGTGTAATACTGAATTGCTGCTAATGAGATTTTTGTTAGAGGGGATCCGACGTAAATTTGGTTTTTTTTTTTGTTATGTTTTTCTATTTTTATATATTTTCATTTTTAAATTGAATTTTTAATTAGTTTTTAATTCAGGAATAAAAAAATTTATTAAAAATCCAATTGCATTACCGGGAAAGTTACAATTGCTTTCAATTGCTATTTAAATTAACGCGAGAATATATTAGAAGTTTAATTTAACAAAAATCTAATTATTTGCTACTGAACGGTTTGAAAATTAATAGAAAAAAATAATTTAATAAACTAAATCAGAGAAGAGCAAAAAAAAAAAAAAAATAACACCGGATGGGCGGCATAACATGACATAAAAAACCTTTTTAAACTCAAGAGATTTGAGTCAGATAAGCGATATTGATAACACGCACACGAATTTTTTATATTATATTCGGAATACAACGTTTTAAAGACTCTCTTAAAGCGCTTCGCGGTGCACTGAATTGCTCTGCGGACTTTGTGCCTAATCCGTCACTCCAGGGCTTTCAAGCGATGCTAGCCACAGCATAGCGATTTTTCTTTACTTCCTAGAAAGTCTATTGAACGAATACTCGGCTCGTTGTGGATGTGAAAAGGAGCTTCCTTAGCGAAAAAACTTTATACATGGGGGCATGATACTGTGCGCAAAAAGTATCACTAATTTATTATGAGTGGCATGGAGCACTTGTTGCGCAATTGCAGCAGCAAAAGTAAAACGACACTCTTCGAATGGAAGATTAAGTCACAACGATCATCACATAGGTCGAAAAGGTACTCAACTAATAGGGGTTCAGCTGATTTTTTTAAAAGGTCTTCGTAGCTAAGACTACAAGATCGCAGAAAGCTCTTTGGTCAATTGAAAGAAAGTTCGCTAAAATTTCTTAGGGCCTTAAGTCAACTATTTTGCACACCCGTTAGGCGAATTGCATTCAACACAAGCCCAATTTCATTGCATGAAAAGACACATTAAAAATTTTTTTGATAATTCCGGATACTTTTTGCACGGAGTCTATTTCGCAAAACCGACACAAATACGTTGGAAATTATCTAATTCGAAACGTATGAGCTATGCTTTGTAATAGTTCATGATAGCGGAAGTAAGCTTGACGAAGTTTTCATGTTTTATTGATATTGTTATGAAATTCGCTTTTCCAAGGTACAATCCGTATCACTGGACCGGACTGGATATTTTGTTGAAGAGAAGTACACTTCAAAGTGCTTTTATTTACCATCATATACCTTAAGAGTAGGATCTCATTTATTTACAATTATGTTCCTTAAATGTAGAATTATTCACAATTATATTTTGGCCATACTCTCAACTTCTGTGTTCTTGCCCGACTAACTCTCCCTTCCACAAATAGTCTACTTATATATATTTTTTTACAAGCGTGTTACTATACCAAAATTCATAGTTTTTATACTTAATACCTGTCTGTTTTTCCCACTAATCTTTTCTATCGACCTACAGCTGCGTGACGCGCCTGCGAATGTGTATTTGACTTTTCCTTCTTTAGGGAATTTATTATTATGGAAAATTACTTAGCTGAATTTAAGGGGTTTTGGGATTTTCGTAACAATATTATAACGCAGAGTTACCCTTTGCACCCATTGTACGTATTTATCAGATCCCTTTTGAGTTTAAATTTGTACCAATGAATTGTGGCTTGAATAGGTTAACTAAGGGTTTGTTTATATTCCTTAGGATATATATTTACAGGGAGATCTATTTCCAAGAAAGTCTTCACGCTCGTTCTAGTCTTGTTCTTTCGAATATTGCAATTCAACTCTCTTGACAAGACTAACTATGCCTTTCGTAAATTATCTATTTATATAAACTTTTATTCAACAAGTTACTAGCTCTTTTTCCGCGAAAGCGTCTACGCGTTATTATTAATCTTTATGACAATCACAAGCTGCGTGAGGCAACTTGACAAGCAAAGTACCTTGAATGTGTAGTTGATTTTACAATTTCGTGGAAATCGATTTCTTAGAAACTCGACCACATTTCATGCAAGTTCAAGCCATCGATGTAAGACCAACGAAAATCAATCTTTGGGAAATGGCTTAGGAAACCTTAGGAAGCCAAAAAACCCTGAAACATATTTATTGTTAAGAATTTTGAAAATTTCACAAGTCAACTGACGAGTAGTCGCATCAATTGATGGATTGAGAGGCAATTAAGAAGATACGTAACAGCATTGAGAAGGATTGGCGGATAGCAGAAGCACAACTATGGAGACGAACGAACGAAGGAGTAAATGAAACGATGAACGGGAAGGCAAGTCTATCCATCGAACCGACTTGATTAGTAGGTGGGCAGACAAATACCTGCCTTCTTGACAGCAGGATGACTAGAATATAGGGATAACTGGACACGTGAATAAGCACACGATCGAGTCGGGAAAAAATGGTGTATAAGTCGGAGTACTTAAAAAAGCGGTTGGGTAGACATTTGAATGCGCAGACGCGGAGCATGGTAAATGAAGGGAGAATGAACAGCGGACGGGTGAGAAATAGATCGACAAGCCGCTTCATGCGACGCAGCTGTTGCACGGAGAAAAGTATAACTCGATAATTGGTAAAGTAAAAAAAAAGAATGGACTAATTAACGAAGAAATCTATATTGACGGCCAGCACAACAATGAGTTTGAACGAACTTCCTTACTCAATGGGATAAGTAATATATATTGCACATACTCCAAGGGAAATAAAATTAGTCTTCAATGCTGAACATAAGTTCAATAAATCGATACATGGCATTAACTTGTCTTCCATCCGTCCGTTTTCTCTTTACGTTCTTTTTACTTCCTCCTAATTTTTCGTAACCCTCTTTCTCTAACCCTTTACCTGGACCACTTCCGCTCTCTTTCTATCTTTCTTCGCTTCGACTCGATTCGAAGAACGACTCTCTTACTTGACAATAATATATAAATAATGCACGGTATTTGAAAGTCGTTTCTCCTTTAGGATATCATATTAATTGAAGGTTTATTTTTTTAGAATTTTGTAAAATATTTATTTTTTAATTCTTAACAATTTCATATAAATTATTCTATCACATTTATTATAATCAAAATTTAGTTATTATAAATATAAGCTAAACTAGAAAAACAATTTACATAATTTCGCTTCAATTTTTAAAGAGAACTTAATTTCGTGATTCGTTGTATGTATGTAAGATTTTGGATTAAAAGCGATTTGCTTAGCTTACTATATTCCATCAATATAAAATTTAATCTAAAAAATCGTATCTGGAAAGTTATTGTGAATATATGCTTTCACTAGCTTCAATCCCTGAAAAATCAATCAACTGTTTTAGTATTAGTAAGGGTGCAGAGGGGGAAGGGAGAAGAGTTATCCATTAAAATTTAAAATCCGCATTGTGTAGCCTATACACATTACAGGTATTTATATCCATAGGAAAGTGGATGCCTTCAATACAGCTCTTATGGTAGTGTTAACGAGCATATGATACTTGCAAAGAGTAGAAGAAAACATTAGACGACTTCACAATGTTCATACTCAGAAAAGGCAGAAATTGAGGTCGAATTCTTATTTCACTTGGTTGCATAAATTTCTGCAGAAATAAACCGACGAATGCTGGATAGATATTAGCTAGGAATTAGTTTTGTTACTTTTTCCATTTTTATGAAGGGTACGGGGCATATTCAATTTATGAGGACTCAGAAGCATTTAAGGAGACGTCTTCCTCTTATTACATTAATCAATTCAATTTAAGTTTGTCTCTTCGCCAATTCGAATTCATTTCTGTATCGATTTAAAATTGTCTGTCCGTCTGATATCTATACTCCTATTTTTACATTCGGGTGGAAATTTTTCAAATATTTTCACAAAATTCGGTAGACGGGCGAAAGCTGTGAAAGGCTGTATAAGGCTTTCTTTAAAAAAAAAGTGCAAGTTTCAAAATTTCTCTATAAAAGTCGCTTAAGAGCGATTATAGAATTTGGGCATACTAAATAGAGGTATAAAATATGACTCGGGTGTTCCAATTTTTTTTTTTTTTTTTTTTTTGAATCTATCTAATATAACGGCTCGCAGGAAAGTAAACTTTTCTATGGCTAAGAGGTCAAAGTTTTAATATTCCGTAAGGAAGGATCATCGTAAGGTAGAATCATCATACTCGTCTGATGTAAGAAATGGAAGCGACAAATTTGGACCAAGTATATCTTTTACTTTATGAAAAGTATTTCTTTACCCGGCCATAGCATATAATTGTTGATATTATATAGTGAAAATAAACGACAGATTGTTGTAGACAAAGTGGTATAAAGTATTCAGTGATCAACCATGCTCGACCAGCGCATGGCTTTTATTGGTTTCATTTAATTTTTTCCGTTTTTTTCAAAAAAATTTCATTTTAATAAATTCTAACTTTTTTTTAACTCGCTTGTTAAATTACATCCTGTTTTCTATGTTGTTTATACAAACATGTAAATTTATATATATATATATTTGTATATTTCTTGTTTTTTGTTTTAGGTACAGTGATATGTATACAAATCCTATTAAGGCCAGCAAATTGGAACATCGTGATGTTGTACTTGATATATTATCTGATGCTCGTGTGGTGGGACCATTAATGCAAACCGGTTTATTTCACGCTGAAGTGAATCGACGCAATTATATGTATGTATTCGGCCATAATAGCTTCGGTGGACCGCATGCCAGTGTAAGTACTACAAAAAAAAAAAAAAAAGTTAAAATTAAGGAAAAAGAAAAAATTTTATTTAGTTTAAAGCGAAGCATTAGATAGGTACGACGTTAAATACTTACCACGAAAAAAGTATGCCATGGAAAGAGCACTATAATATATGTATGTATATATATACAATATATTTAAATATGTTTAAATTAATTATGAGAAGAAAAAAAAAGTTTGGAATCCCGTTTCAAGTCTCAAAGTCGAACTCCAAACTCGAAATAAATTCTATAGGGAGTTAGGCAGGCTAACAGATTAAATATTTGTCCAAATTGGAAATAAATCCGTACTCTCTCTTTATAATAGAGTAATGAAATTAATAAATAAATAGAAACGTTCATTTCAAGGAAGTGTTAAGAGGTGTACAAGGTATACCGATTGGCTATAATTTTTCCGAAAAAATATAGCGAAAGGACTATCGATCACTGGAGCGATTTACTGGGTCCCCAAACGCTGCTGGGAGCTCAAAAAATACTATCGTATTCGAGATGATATGAAAGAATTACAAGTCCGTACTGCTAACAAGACCTAATGGAGTCTTTCCTTATGAACCCGAATGCCAATCCATGACAGGATTTTTCAGGATTTTTAGCATATTGTGCTGTTTTTCGGCTTAATTACATCAATGTTCTTACTGATGCCTAGCGATAGTTTCGTTTCATAATACACATACACACACATGACATCCAGCTTGATTTCTTAAATACACCCGCGATATATATTTGGCTTTAACTGCGATATTAATGCGCTGTCTGTTCGGATTTTTTGCACACGGTTACATCAAGACTTAGCGGTGTTTCAAGAGAAAAGAAAACGTTGTTATGCTTATTCTCACATTCTTGGTTAAATCTCAAACATAGAACCTCGTCTGTAGAGGGTGCAGTTTTTTAGATGCACAGAGATCGAATAACGCCGTCTCCGACAAGGACTTAACAAAATTGGAATAAGAATTCATCTCATATATGACACAAGAAACTTAGAAAGTCTACGATACGTGTTTCCTTGGAAAAGTTTGACAAACCTTGATTTCCCTACGAAGAATGATGAGACATTTAGTCCATTGCTACAATAAACCTCGTATAACGGAGTTTGCTAACAGCCCGTCCACTTCCCGGAAAATGTGTTTAACAGAAAAATTTCATTTTATTTGTTTGTAGATAAGAATCGAAACTACCCACGAATGTTGAGCGGGTTCAAATCTCACTATTGCTAGAGCATACGTGTTCGCAACTGTAGTTAGCACTCAGTCAAAACGAATATTTACTGACTGGGTACACAACCATTATGCCGCAGCCATTCCTTGTTTTCTAAACTACGCCGTGTTACACGTACAGGGAACCTGAGCGATTGGTCCTGTTACAAAAAAGAAAAAAACCAATTGTTAAAGTAACATATTTAATTTATTCCCGAACTGATGTGCAAACTTAGTTATGTAAGGGGTTGTGATAGTCCCATAAGCAGCGGAGTTATCCGTAAACGTCTGATGTACTGGAATTTTCTAATCGTCGGGCTCGAGACCATGAAAAATAATGCTTTTTGTCAGCCCGACCACGGATTTTAGATGACTTTCTCCAAGTTCTACCCTAAGGCAACAGCAGTATCGATAGAATTCTATTAACTAACGCCATTTATGGTAACGCATATCAAAAACGGAAGCAGTTTAATTGCGGCCTTAATTTGCACAAAATACTCATTAAAGAATGCAAAATATCATCGAAAAAATTAATTTCATAATTTAACCAAAGAATAACTTTCATTTCAATGAAACTAAAATAATAAATTAAATATAATAAAAGTTCCTCGTACAACAAAAAAAAAAAAAAAAGATCAAATTTTGCTATGGAAACATCGTATTGCATTGGATTATCATAGCATAAACCATACGCAGTATTTCAAATCCGTATTTATATGTATAGACAACTGTAATAGCAACAGTTTTTTCAGGGATGAAATAAAATCTCAACTTTTTTCATATACATTAATAATAGCTTCTCATATTCACAAATTTTTTGGTCAACTATGTCCTCAATATGGCGAAAACTTTGAAAAAAACTGGCGACATTTTTCCAGGGCAAAATAAGCAATAATTTACTCTTCCACATCGTTAGACGGCGGCTGACGAGAAACCTGCAATTTAAAAGACCCAACTCATTCACTTTAAGTAGATTGTCCAATACACTACCAGTACCACTTGGCAACAGGTTTTGCTCATAGATAACTTAAAGGTGCACTGTAGAAGAAGAAGTTTTGTTTTCTTTATGACAGAGCACTTTTTTTCTCAATACTGGTTTATATCTCCTCCATAGAAATAGCTCCAGCAGGACAAGTTAGATTGTAGAAAACTGCGAAATGTTAGTAGTTGAGAGCGTGGAGGCGGCCACGTCAGTTGTAATCTTCAGAAAGGATAGTTTGAATAAGGCTAATCGCAGTTGCATAGTTAGTCCAAAGGCAAATGTGAATGCGGTCGCGTAAAGTAAAGCTAAAGGCTTTATAGTCTAAATTTAAGCTCCACTCGCTGTATAGCACTACATAGAGGAACTTTTTTTGGAGTGAATCCTTATTGTTGTATCCGGCTATCATTTGCACCCACTCTCTAAAGGGATAATTCGAAGTGATTATAGGCCTCAATATTCCCTAGAGTGGATTTATTGGCCATACACTTTAAGTCAATCTGGTATTGCAGTTGTGGGGCCCTAACTTATAGAGATTGTCTGTCTCTCCCGGATGTCGATTCACGCAAAGATAACACTTGCTTCAGCGGACATCGTCCATATGTCCAATAGAAGGTTTTTCTATTATTTGGTCGGATATTATGAGCCTCAGAAATTCCAGCAGATTTTTTTTACTTTGGTCTGACAGCTTTTTCAGGGGCCGCTGGGAAGACCGCTTGCTCGATGTAGAGCTGCATTGCAATCAGATGTGTAAACAATAAAAAAGTGGAAACGGTGGATCTTGCTCTAACTAAAGATTTCTCCTGACCGGCTACTAAGGGAATATTGCACTGTACGCTTCATCAGGGTGGTGTTAAAAGGAATGATCTTATGTATATTGGCAGTCAAGAAATGTTTGTGTTAGAAGAGGAAGAAAGTTTTCGGTTGCCAAAAAATTATTGCTCGCCCGAATTGTGGTTCTGTTAAGCGTCGCCTTTTTATACCGCACGATACTTGTGTCACAAGGGCATCTAAGGGGATGTAAGCAACGCTCAGAAAGATTTTAGTTATACCAATCTTTTATTATTCCAACGGATTGAGAATAACTTCCTGCACCGAGCACTCGTTCTTCAGGTTGTCTACAATTTGCAATATTTCAGATAGTTTGATTAAATTTGGTACATGGACGTGTTTTCACCAAAGGACGAAAGATATTGAAAATGGTTCGGATCGGACCATTTCTTTGGCCACATTCCGAATAAGACCTTATTTGCAAATAAGGTTGTTTGAGTAACTGTAAGTGGTGTAGGGTATTTAATGGTGGATCATGTCCCACTTTACTGTTTTTACTTATTTAACTTGATTTCCTAAGCAGAGCAAAAAGCATAAAAGCATGTTCACAAAAAGCGTAAGCGTCTAAAAGTCCCTTTCTTTGTAAAGTGCGTAGATAAATACGCAATTAAATAAAATTTTTGACAACCCATGCACACTTATAACGGAAACGAGTTTAAGTATCGTCATGCGTTACATTGTTTCATACATTCAATTGGTTTCTTTTCATATAGACTTCCAAGCTTTACATTTGCAATGACTTCACTGCCAGAATGGTATGGACATAAAATTATTGATTTCCAAGTTAAAAGATATTCTCTGTTAAAATTAAAAGAAAATGTTTGAAAAATTTATTTAATTAAAAGCAAAGCATTATACATGTGCATGTATTATAAGGCCTCCAAACCATAAATAACTTTTCAAAAACATATTTGAACTCAAGTATTAGAGAGGACCGCTTACAGCCGCACGTATGTACATATTATATGGCGTTGTGGAAATAATGCCAAGAAATTTCGCTTGGAATCTTTCTCTTTTGTATATTTGGCTTTGCCAGTGACAACGACACTATTGAAAGTTGACAGTCAGAATAGCAACAGCAGCAGGAATAACATAAATTTTAAACCATTGTTGCTGTTAAGTGAGACAAAGAAATAAAGCTTAAAATGTCACATATGTATAAGCAGACATTTTATGTAAATAGATATGTATGCCCTCTGCGAATGTGTGTATGCGTGTGTCTCTCTCTCTCTCTCTCTCTCTATCTATCTATCTATCTATCTATCTATGTCTCTGTCTTTCCGTCTATCTGTCTGCCTCTGTGCGTGTGTGTATTTGCATATATCTAAACGTTTGTCTAGAACAATGTGAAATGTGAATGAAACGAAATTCTCCAAAGCGTGTATTAACAAAACAAATACCGAAAAAACATTTTAAAGTGCTTTACGTGAGCACACAGACATAAGAATAGAAATAAACAAAAACTAAAAAAACTAAAAAAAATATTAAAAAAAAAAAAGACAATATAACGTGAGAAATTTAACGTATGTCAAGTGTATGTTGAGCATATAAAATATACAATTCCTCGCCTTCATGCTGACAAATAACAGTTACCCTAAACAATTGTTTTATGTATCGTGCTAAGCTTAAATATGTGTGTCTGGGTCTATGTCAAGTAAAAACTGATACCAATAAAAGGCGTTTTTTTTTTCCTATTTTTTCTTTTTTTTTCGGCTTAAAAAGTACTCAAAACGAAGAACACACAAACCCATGTATCTAAATTTAGATATATATATGTAAACATATATTTTTGTTGGCAGAGGGGCTTAAAATTCATACTGAGAAGCATTTACTTGTTTATACATACCGTAGGCGTTATTGTTCAACACAACAGAACGCCTACTGCGTGCATTCCAAATAATCGTATATCCGACGTAACAACAACTAAAAAGAAACAACTAACAAAAAAATAAAAGAACAAAAAATTTA